TTTTTAATTTCATGAACTATGCTTTTGGTATTGGACATAAAAACTCATCACCACACCTAAGAGCACATAGATTTTCATAGATTCTTTTAGATGTTTCATAGTTTTGAATTTTACATTTAAGTTTATTCAGTTTGAGCTAATTTTTGTGAAAAGTGTAAGGTCTGCGTCTAGGTTCTTTTTTTTTGCGTACAGACATCCAGTTGTTCCCCCACCATTTGTTGAAGAGGATTTCCTTTCTCCATTGAAATGCCTGCCTTTGCTCTGTTGTTAAAGATCCATTGACTATGTTTTTGGGGGTCTGTTTTTGAACCCTGTATTCTATTTCAGTGACCTATGTATCTGTTCTTTCATCAGTGCCATATTATCTTGATTACAATTAGTGTTTTCTCTTTTTAAAATTATACTTGCAGATTTTTCTTTTTATGCCTTTAAGAACCAGTGTTGAATTTCTTTGCTAATTGAATTGTGGCTCTTTATTACAATATTTCTTTTCATGAACTTCTTAATTTTTTTTCCCTAGCTTCTTCCATTAAATTAGTTAAGCTCATTTTCCTTTCTTAGTTTTTAGATGTTTGTCCTTAATTATTTGTTACTCCTAGAAAATCTCATTTTGATTGGACTCAGAGGTAGAAACTCTCAGAGAAGACAGCCTACGTCTCTTAGCAATCTGTTCCTGGCATTTTTCTTTGGCTTCCTTCATTCTTTTAGCTAAGAGTTTAGTATAGTCTGCAGCCTCTTCCTTACTTTTCTTAGTACATTGTTTCTTCAGAGCAACATGCCAATGTTTGTGTTGTAGGACACGTGGAGTAACAAGGCGCTGAGTCTTGGGTGTGCTGGTCCTTAGGTTTCTTACATTCTTTGTTTAGGGGCTTTCTCACAGCATATTGGAGGACATCACCTTCTTTAGAGAGATTGAAAAGTTTATGGATTTTGCTTCTTCTTTTGGGCCCCAGGCAATGAAGCACAGTAGTTATCACTGAGACCAGGAATATCTTCCTTTCCCCCCCGCGTTTTTTTTACAATGACCAAGTGGAGAACGCTGAGACTGACGTCCACAGCACAACCCTGAACAGACTTGCACTTCCTCTCTCCAATCCTCTTTGGTCTTTAACAGGGATGCCCCTTACTCAGCAGCAGGCAGACATGGCCATGGGTCAAGACCCCCTGCTTCATGGGAAAAACTAAAACTTGTTTGTCATTCCCTCTCCTGATTTGAACCACTTAACCCTTCCATTCTTCACCCAGAGCATCAGCAGCAACTTCTATGGCCATATGCTTCTCATAAAAGATACAAAGTTTGCGTTCATTATTCACTTCATTGAGTTTCTGGCAGCCAGTGTCTGGGAACGAGAAGTTCAGCTTCATCCTGCTTCAGGCAACGGCCTCTATGGTGCCCCCAAAAAAGAACTTACTTTGTTTTCTCCTCAAATGTGTACATATCTTAGGCTGCTAGGGCTGCCATAAAAAAACACTGCAGGCTGGGTCGCTTAAACAGCGGAAATTTATTTTCTCACAGTTCTGGAGTCTAGATGTCCTAGGTTAAGGTGTGGAAAATCTGTTTTTTGGTGATGTCTCTCATTCTGGCTTGCTGATAGCCACTTTCTCACTGTGTCTTTATATGACCTTTTCTTCGTGCACAAGGGGTGGGGGAGGGGAGTAAGATACCTTGATATCTTTTCCTCTTCTTATAATGACACCAATTCTATCGATTAGGATCCTGCTCCATGACCTCATTTAATTTCTCATTACCTCCTTAAGGCCCTGCCTTGAAGTATAGCCACATTGGGGGTTAGGGCTTCAGCATATCAATTTTGGGAGGATATAATTCATCCCATAACAATACAATGAAAGCGTCATTGCTATGAATTTGTTTCTGAATATAGCAATATCTCCAATTCTGCATTCTTTGGTATGTGGTGTCATCATTATTCTCTACAAGTTGTTATTGTATTCTTATTTTCTCATTGATCTAATAGTTAATCAGAAAATGATGGTGTTTTCCTTTGTTCTCCAGAATTTTTTATAAACCCTATATTTTAAAAGCTAACATAGAAATTTATAATATTGTGGTCATTGTTTTGATGTTTTGAATTTATCAAAATTTTCTTTGTAGTGTAATAGAGAGGTTCTCAGTTGTAGAGGTCATTTGTATATCTGCATTTTTGTTGGCATAATGATGTGTGGTGGGGGGAGGGCTACTTCTAGTTCACAGGGGCAAGTGAGAACTTCTGAATCTCCTCCATGCCACTGGCCCGCCATGGGAAATTGTGGGGTTTGTGTGTGTGAGTGAGAGAGTGCGTATTTCAGGCCCTGTCTCGCTCTAAATATGCCTGTCTGCCATCGCTGCTTTGCAGCTGTCATGAGTAGGAGCCCTTCCTCACTGTGTGTGGAGTCTCCGCCCAGAGTTCCAGATGTGCAGTGAGGCAGAGCCCATGCTGCACTGGGTTTCCCCATTCCCTTTGGGGCCCTCTATCCAGCTCCAGGGTTTCAGAGGGGATGGGTGCCTGAGAGCAGCCTCACACTTCTGTTACTTTATTTTATTTCTCTGAGAGAGGAGAGAGAGAAACATCGATATGAGAGAGAAACATCTGTTGATTGCCTTTTGCATGCAGCCTGACTGGGACCGAACACACAACCTAGGCATGTGCCCTGACTGGGAATCGAACCCACAACCTTTTGGTTTGTGGGATGACACCAACGAAGGGAGCCACACCGGCCAGGGCTTGTGTCTCTTTTGTCTACTCTAAACTCACCCCCTCTTTTAGGTCCTTCCCAATGTTTGAGGTGGGCTTTAATTTCTTCCCTTGGTGACCATAAGCAACTTAAATTATATCCTTCAATCTTTCTCTTTCAAGACTCATTAAAAGTGGTGCTTAGTACAAGCTCTGGGTCTTGATCTCTGAAGGGAGATTTTTTTTTTTTTTTCAGGTAAATGTTTGTAGTGAGAAGAGGAATATAAAAAATTTTCCTATTAACTTTTTATTTTGATGTAATTTGAAATATAAAATCTCAAAACAAGTACAAATAATTCTCAAATACCCTTAACCCAGATTCTCTAAGTGTTAACATTTTACCACATCCTCCTTTTCTCTCTGTCATATATTCATGTGTGTATATAGACGTATATATATGTATACACACACACACATATCTGTCTTTCCCCTTTGTCTCCCTCTCCACACAAGGATGGACACACACACACAAATCAATAAGTTAACATTGACATACAGTAGTACTCTTATCTGACCTATAGGTTTATTCATATTTTGTCAATTGTCCCACTGATAACCTCCATAGCAAAAACAAATCCCAGATCATATATTGCATTTAGTTGTCATCTTTTTAATGATGGTTTGTGTTTTATGACATTTGCATTTTTGAAGGCTATAGGCCTGTTATTTTGTAGACTTTTCCGCAGCTTGGGTTTGTTTTTGTTTCTACACTATACAGTTCAGGTTATACATTTTTGGTAGGAATCCAAAAAATCCAAAAGTGATACTAAATGTGTCGTTCTCAAGGGATCATTTCAGGAAGCACATGATGTTGATTGTCCCATTGCCCATTGCTGGTGATATTAACTTTGATCACTTGGTTAAGTGTCTGCCAGGTTTCTCCACTGTAAAATTACTATTTTTCCTTCTGTGCTGAAAAAGTTATGTGAAGAGGTACCCTGAGGCTATTATCCTGTTATTCTTCAAACTTTCACTCACTAGTTTTATCATCCATTGATGATTCGTACCCGAATCAGTTATTATTATGATGGTTACCCAATGGTTATTTCCTATATCCATCATTTCTACATTACCTAGGTGCCCTCCATTCTTCCCTCCCTCCCTTCCTTCCTCTCTTTCTAAAGGAGGACTTCTGAAATTCAGAAAATGCTTTTTTTAAATTTCTTTACAAGCAGTTAAACTCCTTCACTGAATGCTTGACTTTCAAAACTGTTGAATTTTAAGTCCACAGCTGAGCTCTGAGGCCTTTGCTATAGGCTGTACTCGTCCTCCACCTGAGGCATGAATACCACCAGGCTATGGATGAAGAGCCGCAAGGTCACAAGAATAATTTCAGTCCAGGAAAAGCCCCTAGATTTAAAATCTTCAAATATCAATTTGTTATAATAGTTTTTAGTATTTCAAGTTTTTATTTTTATTTTTTAAAATTTCTTTCTTTTTTTAAAAAATATTTTTATTTATTTATTTTTAGACAGAGAAGAAGAGAGGGAGAGAAACATCAATGTCTGGTTGCCTCTCACATGCTGTATACTGAGGACCTGGCCCACAACCCAGGCATGTGCCCTGACTGGGAATCTAACCATTGACCCTTTGGTTTGCAGGCTGGTACTCAGTCCACTGAGCCACACCAGCCAGGGCCAAGTTTTTATATTTTTGTGTTTTTCTAAGTGCTTTACTGTATGATTGAGTGAAACTGTTATTAAAAAGGAATTATGGGATCAAAAATAAATATATTACCACTTTCAGTATATGAAGTAACTTAAACCTACAGTAAAATGTTGCCAAATTGCTGACCATGCCTTAATGGTTATTTAAAACCCTTAAACATAGTCTTATCTTAATGACTGACCATGTATTTGAAATCTGCACCCTGGCACTCTTAAAAAAAAAAAGAAAAGAAAAAGAAAAACACATTTAAAGTTGCTCAGTATGCATAATCTCTATATTATGACTGTTGGAATTTAGCTGCATTATATCCGTGGAGTTAATGTAGTATTTTACACATCCTTATACATCCTCCATTCACAGAAGTTCTAGGGAAATGCTGTCTGGCTATATAGCTTTCTGCTGTTTGTTTCAGTGGTAATGTCTACAAATGTGATTGTCATTTCTACCTGGAAGTGACACTGTCTTAAGAAAAGTGTGTGTAGAGGGGATTGAGGACTATTGCAGAGAATATTAGATTTTATCTTTTTTGTTAAGCTGTTCATATACACAATAGTTTATTTATTTTGCATGTATTAAATAAGTGATTTTTAAAATCAATAGATCCTTCTCACTATGAAAATGAAGACACCTTTTTCCCAGTGTTTCATACTCAAGTCCCTCCAGAAGAATATGAAAACCGTATACAGAATGTCAATCAAGGTATGTTTTGATTTGTTTGATTTTTTACAGATTGTCACAAGAAAATACTAGCTGTATACAGAAATGTTCACTGATGAAATGATTTGATGTGATTTAATCAGGAAATAAGAGGAAGTAGGTGAGGTTTTAGATGAAACAAGCTTGGTAATGTGTTAATCATTGTTGAAGTTAATTGTTGAATATTCATTATACCATTCTTTCTACTTTGGGATTTTTGAAATTTTTTATATAAAACAAGTTAAAGGAAAGCTGACTACAAGTAATGAAAACCAAGCTTAAGCAAAAAGGAAAATATATGGAAAGAATCCTGGTGATAGACGGCCTCTTTGGTTCCCAAGAGCATATTCTGTGGGTAGTCACTGAGAAGGACACTATTCCAAAATGTTAGAGACCAACTGATCCAACTTGGGTTAGGTGCCTACTGCTGGTCCAACCAGCTCCTCCAAACCAGCATGGGTTGGGGTCACTCTAGGAGCACGGCAGCTTCTACCATGGGTCACCACCAGGAGGGGGAGGAGAAGAGGACATTTCTATTGAGACAGTTCTGACCGGACAATCCAATGTTTTTCTCCTACGATTTATTAAAAGTATTTTTTAAAGAAAGCCTTACAGATGTAAACATGGAGGCATTTAATTTGAGTTACTCTAACATTGTATTGCTTAAGAGTATTTGAAACTTCAGCTGAATGAATAAACCTCATATTTCAACTTAAAAGACTATTTACAACTTGGATTGTGATAAAAGTTATATATTTTATACCTAAGCAGGCCACTCACCAAAAAAGTGACTCCTATTTTAACTGTTGGTAGACGTTTTAAAAAAATTATGTTATTGATTAGAAAATAAAACCCTAATTATGAAGCACAGATTTATTTGTCTAGAAACTTGTAACTTAAATTCAAATAAAACTTTTTAAATTCAAATTTATTTTTGTTTGAAAAAAATTTAAATCCAGAGAAGTTACTCTTGTCCTGGTTCTTTGCATCTATTGTTATCAAAATTTATTGTTTAATTATTAAATTTTTATTGAGTTTTGGATAATTAGCTACAAATTATCCTTAATCCTTTTTATTGAGATAACCTTTCTTATAAAATAGAGGTAACTTTTAAGTAAACCTTTCCTGGACTGAGCTCCTGGCTGATGTTTCTCCCTTTTGGGTTTTAATGTGGCAATTTATCCTATTTTGTAGAGTGAACTCCATTTGTCATTTAAGAACATTCTTCTTTATGCATAGTTTTAAAGCATTAATGAGGATTTCATATGATCTTGTTTTAAATGCTTTAAATATGACTACAGTGAAAACAAGATATTTAATAAAGGGAGTAAGAGTCCAAAAGTATTTTTCTTACCCTTATTTTGAGCACTCAGTGTCTGAACAACTCAGAAGTTGACTTAAGCCTCCATTCAAAGGTTGAGGAAACTGACAAACTAGGATGGGCCCTAGGGGTTTGAGCAGATGGATGGAGAGCATCCAGGACACTTAGCCCAGACCTTGCTTAAAAGACAGGTTTGAACAAAAAGTTTATTCAAATGGGTGATGATAAATTAATAAAGAACCTAGTCTTTAGAGAAAGTTCTGTTTCATAGAAAGAGTAAAATAAAATATATTTTAAAATTCCCATAACTTCAGAGATTTCTCCTTCACATGTGTCACCTGCAGTTTTTTTCATATGCCCCATGATTCCAAAGGAATCAATAGCAACAAGTTTGATACATGATAATCAGTAACAGAAGTTTTGCGGGAATTTCATTGTAAAGTGTGTAGCACATTTATCTTTTTAAGAATAAATTTCTATATTAGGTTTCTGGATCTGGAATTTGGAAGTTCTTCTATGTGTGTTTTATTTCTTATGTATTTTAATATATGCTTAAGGTAAAATTTTAGCATAATGGGCAATTATAATTGTGAAAAAGTTTTTAACTTTTTTAATATTAGATTTTACCCATGATGTGGAAAGTAATGAGTCATTGATCAAAGCAGAAAAGAGACCTTTCTCAAGTACAGAAAAGATTGAGCTCAGAGATAAACACAGCCAGGATTTTATTAAGCGAAATATTGAGGTATGTGCTTAAAAATTTAGAAGCCAGAATGTGGACTAAATAAGTTGTGAAAATGGAAATAATTGTGTTCAGTGTCTTTAAATATATTTTGATTGTGATACATGTATATGTGATTTAACCAGCATATTTAACTGAAAGAAAAGTTTTATGAACCAGTATTTCACTATTTTCTATTCAGTCCTATCCTATCCTATCCTATCCTATCCTATCCTATCCTATCCTATCCCACCCCTTTAAAAATGCTAGCAACTCAATACATTTATTTTATTACCCAGAAATGAATCTTGTTCCTGTAATCTGAAAACATTTATTTAGATAAGAGTTTGGAACATGTTTCCAGATCTTAAATTGCATGTTAATAACATTGGCTTTTTAGAGTAATGAGACTGATTTTGTGGCTGGTGCGTTTGGGAATTTGAATGGAAAATGCTCCTGGCAGAGCTGGCACGGCCAACTGGTTGTTCCTCACATCCCTACCTAGCCCCACTCAACTGAGCCTCCTGGTGGCCCTTCACTTGTCACTTGCCTTGATTAGCTCCCTGCCTCAAGGCCTGACCTTGGCATTGTAGGCCCTCACTTGGTTTGTTCTTAAAGCAGACTCAGATTAACCAAGGGCAGAGGCTCCTGTATTAGACCAGAATGCTAATTAATTAATTTACAGCAAGAAATCTAAGTGCAGTGGATAGAAGGCTCATGGAAAACCACTGAGGCTGGTAGGTCACTAGAAAACTGCATTGGTGAGTGTGAAGTCTTAACAAGAGGAGAAAGTTAAACAATTTTTCACAGTTGATGCCCGACCCTTTTTCCACAATGGGCATGTCATTTCCATGCAGACTGGATTCATGGGTCAGCCTTCTCCTGTCAGAACGAGCCTGGGACTCTTGGTTTTTTCTTTGCTCCATGTTCCTATAACCTGAAAGAAACCTTTCCAACTTGAACTGTCTCTTTGTGTTGTTTACTCTTTTTGCAAGAGCAGTAGTGTTTTTCCTATATCCAAGTTCTTGGTGACACAGCAGCTCCACCATAGATTTCCCTCTTAACAACAGTAACTAATTCTTGATTTAAACTCTTGATTATGATGTTCTTGAATTTTAAAAGCAATTTCATTTAGCGGATATATGCCACATAGGAAGTTCAGGAAGATTCCAAATGCCCCAGCAAATATGTTTTTGCATTGCTATAATATAAAGAGAGGTTTGAAAACTGCATGTGTTTTATTTTCTTTTTCAAAGAAAATGCTTGTTAAAAATGGTTAACAGGAGGGCCTGCTTACAGTGGAAATTCATTTGCCTGGAGAATGGACCTATACCAAAAATGTGACATAAAATGAAATTACCTGGCAAATGAAAAATGCCTAATCTTACAAATTTTTCTTCAGTGTATCTGTACTAAGGTTTCATTTTTATTCTCCTGAACTATGAACTGTTTTGAGTTTTTAATATTTTTTCATTAATGCATTCTCTAGTTGGCAAAGAATTCAGGAAAACCGGTGGTTATGATTGATAGAGAGATGAAAAGGCTGGCCGAACTGTTGAAGGACTTAGATGATGGAGATTTGGGACTGTCCAGTTCTGAGGTATGTAAACTCTGATATTCAATGACATTTACACTCTTAATATTTATTTTTTTAACCATATTATTGCCTTATTAGTATAAATCAACAATAATTTTTTAAATTGAGACAATATTCTCTGACATTAAAAATCCTGTTTTACAAATTTATTTATTTATTTTTTAAAATTTTAGTTATTTATTTTAAAGAGAGGGAGAGGAACATCAATATGTGGTTGCCTCTCACATGTCCCCAACCAGGGACCTGGCCTGCAACCGAGGCATGTGCCCTGACTGGGAATTGAACTTGCAACTCTTCGGTTCACAGGGTGGAGCTTAAACTGCTGAGCCACACCAGCCAAGGCTACTTTATTTTTATTGAAATCTTCAAATTTATTCTTGGTCAATTCATTATTGGCTTTTTAAAATCATCTTTTTATTGTTGTTATATTACAGGTGTCCCAATTTTTCCCACTTTGCCCTCCTCTGCCCATTCCCCACCCCTCACAATCAATTTCCACATTGTTGTCCATGGGTCATTCATACATGTTCTTTGCCTAGTGCCTTCACCTTATTTCCACCATTATCCCCATCCCATCTCCCCTCTGGTCACTTTCAGTCTGTTTCATGTTTCCATGTCTGTGGTTCTATTTTGTTCATTAGATTCCTCTTATAGGTGAAATCACATGGTATTTGACTTTCACCCCCTGACTTATTTCGCTTAGCATGACGCTCTCCAGTTCCATTCATGCTGTTGAAAAGATGGGAGCTCCTTCTTTCTTTCTACTGCATAGTAGTTTATTGTGTATATGTACCACAGGTTTTTGGTCCACTTACTGATGGGCACTAGGCTCTTTCCAGCACTTGGCTATTATAAATAATGTTGCTATGAACATAGGGGTGCATTGGTTCTTTTGACCCAGTCTTGCTGGGTCAAAAAGCAGTTCCATTTTTAGTTTTTTGAGGAAATTCCATACTGTTTTCCACAGTGACTGCACTAGTCTACATTCCCACCAACAGCGCACTGGGGTTCCCTTTTCTCCACAGTGTCGCTAGCACTTTACTTGTTGTTTGTTGATTTATTAATGATGGCCATTCTGACTGGTGGGAGGTGATATCTCATTGTGGTTTTAATTTGCATCTCTCTCATAGCTAGTGATGTTCAGCATCTTTTCATATGTCTGTGGGCCTTCTGTATGTCCTCCTTGGAGAAGTGTCTATTCAGGTGCTTTGTTCATTTTTAAACTGGATCGTTTGTCTTCCTGGTGTTGAGTTGTGTGAGTTCTTTAAATATTTTTGGAGATTAAACCCTTGTCCAATATATCATTGGCAAATATGTTCTCCCATGTGGTCAGTTCCCTTTTCATTTTGATGATAGTTTCTTTAGCTGTGCAGAAACTTTGTAGTTTGATATAGTCCCATTTGTTTAGTTTTTCTTTTATTTCCCTTGCCCTAGGAAATATATTGGCAAAAATATTGCTACATGGGATATCTGAAAGTTCCCTGTCTATGTTCCCCTCTAGGACTTTTATGGTGTCACAACTTATATTTAAATCTTTTATCTATCTTGAATTTTTTGGTGTATGGTGTAAGCAGGTGGTCTAGTTTAATTTTTTTATATGTACCAGTCCAATTCTCCCAACACCATTTATTGAAGAGGCTATCTTTACTCCATTGTATGCTCATGCCATCTTTGTGAAATATTATTTGAACTTAGAGATTTGGGTTTATTTCTGGGCTCTCTATTCTATTCCATTGATCTATGTGTCTGTTCTTATGCTAGTACCAGTATACTATGTATACTGTTTTGATTATAGTGGCCTTGTAGTATGGTTTAATATCATGTATTGTGATCCCTCCTACTCTGTTCTTTTTTCTCAAGATTGCTGAGGCTCTTCAGGGTCATTTTTAGTTCCATATAAATTTTTGGAATATCTGTGAAATATGCCATTGGTATTTTAATAGGGATTGTGTTGAATCTTTAGATTGCTTTGGGTAGTATGGACATTTTAATTATGTTAATTATTCTAGTCCATGAACATGGTACATGCTTCCATTTATTTGTATCTTCCTTAAATTCTTTCTTCAGTGTTCTGTATTTACTGAGTACAGGTCTTTTACCACTTTGGTTAAATTTATTCCTAGGTACTTTATTTTTCTTGTTGCTATAGTAAATGGGATTTCCTCCTAGTTTCTGTTTTTGATATTTCATTGTTGGTGTGTAAAAATGCCCTCAATTTCATAATATTGACTTTGTATTCCACTCTTTTGACAAATTCACTTATTAGGTCAAGTAGTTTTTGGTGCAGACTATAGGGTTTTCCATGTACACTATTGTGTTGACAGTTTTACCTCCGCCTTTCCAATTTTGATATTTCTTTTTCTTGTCTGATCGCTGTGGTAAGGACTTCCAGTAGTATGTAGAATAAGAGTGGTGAAAACAGACCCCCTTGTCTTGTTCCTGATCTTAGTGGGAAAGCTTCTGGTTTTTGCCCGTTGAGTGAGATGTTGGCTGTTGATTTCTCATATATGGCATTTTTTATGTTGAGGTATGTTCCCTTTAACCCACTTTGCTGAGTGTTTTAATCATAAATGGGTGCTGGGTTTTATCAAATGCTTTTGTTTATGTGGCATATTGCGTCTATTGATTTGTGAATATGGTAACATCCTTGCATCCCTAGGATGAATTCTACTTGATGATGGTGTCTGATCTTTTTAGTATATTTCTGGATTCGGATTGCCAATATTTTGTTGAGGACTTTAGCATCTATGTTCATCAGAGACATTGCCCTGTATTTTCTTTCTTTGTTGTGTCTTTATCTGGTTTTGGAATTAGGATAATACTGGCCTTGTAAAAAGAGTTTGGGAATCTTCCCTCTTCTTGGCCTTGTTGGAATAGTTTTAGAAGGATAGGAATTAGTTCTGCCTTAAATGTTTGGTAAAATTTGCCTGTGAAGCCATCTGGCCCAGAGCTTTTGTGTGCCAGGAGTTTTTTGATTGCTGCTTCAACTTAACTAGTCGTTACCAGTCTATTCAGGCATTCTGCTTCTTCTTGATTCAGCTTTGGATGGTTGTATGTGTCTAGAAATTTGTCCATTTCTCCCAGGTTGTCTGATTTCTTGGCACATACTTTGTAGTAATTTCTTACAGTCCTTTGTATTTCTGTGGTATTGGTTGTAACTTCTCTCTCATTTCTGATTTTATGAATTTGGGTCCTCTCTCTTTTTTCCCTGATGAGTCTGGTTAAAGATTTGTCAATATTGTTTACCTTTCCAAAGATCCAGTTCCTGCATTTATTGATCCTTTGGATTGTTCTTTTAGTCTCTATGTTATTTAGTTCTGCTCTGATCATGACTACTTCCCTCCTTCTACTCACTCTGGCTTTGTTTGTTCTTGTTCTTCTAGTTCTCATAGATGTAGGGTTAGGTTGTTCATCTGAGATTTTTCTCTCCTCTTTAGGTTGGCCTGTATTGCTGTGTAGTTTTCTCTCAGGACTGCCTTTGCTGTGTCGCATAGGTTTTGGGTTGTTATGTGTTCATTTTCCTTTGTTTTCAGACACTTTGATTTCTTCCTTGACCTTATTGTTAACCAATTCATTATTTAATAGCATGTTATTCAGTCTCCATGTGTTTGAATGCTTTTCATTTTATTCCATTAGGTTGGTTTCTAGTTTCAAGCTGTTGTGACCGGAGAGGATGCTTGATATTATTTCAGTTTTCTTGGGTTTGTTGAGGCTCGTTTTGTGTCCTACCACGTGGTCTGTCTTTGAAAATGTTCCATGCGCATTTGAAAAGAATGTGTATTTTGCTTCTCTGGGGTGAAAGGTTCTGTATATATCAACTAAGTCTATTTAATGTAGAGTGTTGTTCAGTGCCACAATATCCTTGTTGGTTCTTTGTTTGGAAGATCTATCCATTATTGACAGCGGGTCGTTAAAATCTCCTACGCTGCCTGTGTTGCTGTCCATATCTTTCTTGAAGTCCTCCAAGATTTTCCTTATATATTGAGGTGTTCCTATGTTGGGTGCATATATGTTTATGAGGGCTATATCTTCTTGATGGACTACTCCCTTAAGTATTGTGTAGTGACCTTCTTTGTGTCTTTTTATGGCCTTGTTTTGAAGTCTATTTTGTCTGATGGAAGTATTAGTACATAGCTTTTTCTTCATGTTCATTTGCTTGGAATATTTTTTTCCATTCCTTCACTTTCAGCTTCTATAGATCTTTTGTTCTGAGGTGGGTCTCTGTAGACAGCATCTGTGCAGGTTGTGCTTTCTTATCCATTTGACTACCTTGTGTGTTTTGATTGGATCATTTAATCCATTTACATTTAAGGTTATTATTGTTAAGTAGTCATTCATTGCCATTCTTTCCCTTTTTACCTATTCCTCTCTTTCTGCCTCTGTCTCTGTCTTTCGCTCTCTCTTCTTTTTATAGCAGTCCCTTTAGCATCTCTTGCAGTGCTGGCTTGGTGGAGATGTATTCTTTTAGCCTTTCTTTTTTTTTGACTGGGAAGGTCTTTATATTGCTTTCTGTTTTCAATGAGAGCCTTGCTGGGTGCAGAATTTTTTAGTTGCAGGCCTTTCTTTTCATTTCTTGGAATATTGTGCCAATCCCTTCTGGCTTGTAGTGTTTCTGTTGAGAAGTCAGCTGATAGCCTCATTGGAGCTCCCTTCTATATTACTAGCTATTTCTCCCTTGTTACCTTTAAGATTTTCTCTTTGTCTTTAAAATTTGCCATTTTAATTATGATATGTCTTGGAGTGACCCTCTTTGGGTTCCTCTTGATTGGGACCCTCTGTGCTTCCTGCACTTGCATGACTCTTTCCCTCACCAATTTAGGGAAGTTTTCTGTCATTATTTTTTCAAACAGGTTTTCTATCCCTTGATCCTTTTCTTCTCCTTCTGATATTCCTATGATGCAAATGTTATATTGTTGTTGTCCTGAAGCTCCCTTAAACTATCCTTGTTCTTTATGAGTCGTTTTACTTATTGTTACTCTCACTGGGTATTTCTTTCTACTTTG